TTGCAGCACAAATAAACACAAATAAACTCATTAAAACTGTACGCAGCTTATTTCGTTTTTTCCATTATTCAAAATTGTAAACGCAGAGCTTTTTGAGTAATTGTTGACTGCTGCCCAACATGCTGTGAAAATTGAGTCGTTGTGTATGTGACTTTTCAGAATGCAATGAAAATAGCCGCAGAGCATATCACATGGCCATTCATTTCCCGAATGCCAGCAAGTCAATCAATTGGTCAATCCGCGCGGATTGGCTGCAGTTAATGCGACGATCCATAAATATGGCAGTAAATGCGCATATTAAAGAGCGGACATTAAACAATGCCGTTTTAATAGGCAGCCACAAGCCATTTAATAATTGAAAATGCGCAATAAAAGCATTTTCCACCCCACACCCCGCCCCCTTTAGCCGCACACAGCCCTCGCATACGGCTGGAAAAACTGCATAATTGAAACGGATTAAAGCAAATACAAACATAAAAAACAGAAGAGGCGGCAAAAGATTTTCCACTCATCTTCTTTTTGGTTTTTTCTTGTTGTTTTTCCTTGTTTTTTCTTTTCTTTGTATAATTCAGATTACACTTTATTGTTAAGAATGAATTGAATTATTTAGTTTTTTTGTTGTTGTTTTTGTTTTTGTTTTGTTTTGTTTTGTTTTCCATTTTTCTCTTTAGTTGCTTGCGTTTTATCATTCTTCAAAGTTATCTTCAACTTACTTTGAAATGGTTTTTCTTTCTCTGTTGTTTTGTTGTGATTGGTTTTTAATCATAATAATAATCGTAATAATCATAATAATAATCATAATAATGAAGCATATACATATGTATGCTCTTCTGCCTGCATTTATATATATACATATATATATATATACATATATATAGTCTATATATATATACGATATATGTATATATGTGTGTGTATTTTGTATATATGCATGTATGTATAGAGACACAGTTTATATAATTCGATTTACCTAAAAAACAATTTACAAATATATAAAAAACGAATTCATCTAGTTTAACTAAATTATGTAAGCATATAAAAAACGATTTATACGTTAAGTATATATACATATATGTACGTATATATATATATATATAAATTTTATTGTTTATGCTCTTAAGTTTTCTTTTTTTCGCTCTGCTTCTTTTCATTTTGAGTTTTGCTTATTTTGCTGCATCTTTTTTCGTACCCTGCTTAAAAAGTGTGTGGGAAGGGTATAAAAGAGTTGTGCTCGCTCGTCTATTTTTTACTGCTGCTGCTGCTGCTGCTGCCAAACTGTTAGTCATTTTCCTTATATAACAAAACAAAAATTGTTTACAACTGCGCAATAAATATTAATTTTTTCCAGTGCTTTATCGAGCTGTGTATTTTATTTATGCACGCTTCTAAAAAAGCATTTAAAAAAACATTAAACGAAACGAAATATGTATAACATGCAGGTGAAATACAAATATAACCAAAATAGATTGCAAAGAAAAGCAAACGAAGGAAAGAAATAAACAAACAAAATGTTGCGCATACGCCGCGTTGTGCAGGAAACAGGCTGCGTGTGTGTGTGTGTGTGTGTGCGTGTGTGTGAGCGAGTGTTGAAGTATTGCAAGGATATATTTGATGTTGAAAAACACAGTGTTGACAACTGCTTGGCGAACAGCAAAAGTAAATGCGCTGTCAAATGTAACAAGTACAGTGTGCGCTGCCTACAGTAAACACTGGCTTGGGCCTGTTCAACAGCGAGAAACAGTCGCTTTGCTTTATGCATGCTGCACATGCTGTTCTGCCATAGGCAGTGCACACTGTACTAACGCCCCGATGCCTTTAGTAGGTATTGCTTTAGGTTTTTGTATTTAAACTTAAGTCAGCTGCCTGCTCATCATTTATATGTCAGTTGCAGTTGCTGGACCTATGTGTGTGTGTGTGTGTGTGTGTGTGAGTGTGTGTGGCATGTATATATGCAATGTGCAACAGTCGTACTACGACTTCACTTAATCATATATCATAATGAATGAATTAATTCAGCTGCTTTCATATGAGTTTTTCTTTTGTTTTTCTTTCTTATCTTTTTTTTTTTTTGTATATATTTTCAGTTTTTCTCAATTTATTTTCTCTTGTTTAAAGGGGGAGTTTTTTGTTGTGTTTCTTTTTCTTTTTATTCTTTTCTTCTTCTGCTTCTCGTTTGTTTATATTGTAAATATTGTAACATAATAATATGCCATTATATGCTAAACTTAAATTTAGATTTACTCGGGTTGTTGTTTTTTTTCTTCTTTTGTTCTTCTTCTTCTCTCTTTTTTTATGTTTATTAAAAATTTAACCATTTTTATTTTCTTTGCACTAAAAACTTAGCATAAAAATTTAACAATATATATATTTATTTCTTGTATATATATTTTATATAGATACTTTTTGTTTGTTTTTTTTTTCTTTTGCTCAACTCAACTTTTTACTTTTGTTGTTCTTCTTCTTCTTCTTCTTGTCTGTTTGCTGCTGCCTCTTCTTTAGTTGAGTGTTTTTTTTTAACAATGTTTTTGTTTCTTTTAAATTATTTATTTCATGTTCTCTTGCCGGGCTATCGCCTAAAGTTTGCCATTTGAAAGCTGCTCCCTTGCTTTGTATAAATTATAACTAAATTTTATTCGCTATATATATATATATATATTTACATATATATGTATGTATATATGTGGTGTATGTATATAAAGTATTTACTTAAATTTTGTTGTGTTTTGTTTATGTTTATATTCATTTTAAGGCCAAAAATGTCAAACGTAATTTGGTTAATTCACTTATCTCAATTGTTTAAACAAAACGAAAGCAGCCAAACAAATTATTCTAGAAGCCGGGCATGAAAGTCGAAAGCCGAAAAGAAAGTGAATTAATTGTGGAATTGCGATTGGTAATTTATTATATTTTTTATGTATATATATATATATGTGTTTAATTGTCGCTTTTGCATTTCTCATTGTTGTTGCTGTTGCATATATTGAATTATAGTTTATATAATTAGTTTATTTAATAATATTTGCCTGCCTGTTGTGGGGGAAAAGGATGCGCTTTTCTTTTGCCTGTCTACCAAAAATTTTATATGCTAATTGCAATTTAGTAAAAAAGTTTTTTATATATTTATATGTTGCTTTTGTTTTTGATTCTTGCGGATTGGTAGGAAGCAGCATTAGGTGAGCGGAGCGGAGCGAGGGGAGGGGCATATAAGACACACTAATTATCACCTACTATCCAAAGTGTGGTTGTTGTTCTTCTTCTTTTTTAATGCTAGTTTAGCTAATGTAAATTGTGTGTGCGTGTGTGTGTGTGTGTGTGTGTGTGCAACGTCTTTGTGTAGTCAGTCGTTTTAATTACCAGAAAGAACGAAAAAGAATTTATAAAAAAAAAAATCAAAAAATCTAAAACCAATTTGCTTTGTCTTTAAATGTTTTCTTTTTTCCTTTTTTGTGGGCGTGTTGTGGGCGGTTCAGGTGTAGGGAGTGGCGCGGGGAGCTGTCCGGGTTGTGGCGTGCGGTCCATCAGTCTGTTTGGTATTTTTTTCGTATTTTTTTTTTGTAATATATATATTTATTTTTAAATTTTTGTTTGCTTAAAACAATAAACTTGTAACTTGATATTACGTGTAGGCTCATCGCATATAATTTTTCCATTCCTTACTTTCCTTTTACATAATTATTTATTACAATTTTTATTTATTTTTATTTTATTTTTTTCGTTTCGTTTTATATGTATTGTATTGTATATCAAAAGTTTTTGTTTTTGTTTTTGCTTTTTGTGTTAGCTAATCTATTAAAGTCTGTTAATGCTTATGTTTTGTTTTTAATTAAATCTACTAAACCTTGGAACCGGAATTTGGGATTTGCTACCATGCTAAAAATATGATTTATGATTAAACGAAAAATTCATTTCAAAAGCTGTTTTCTTTTTCTCTGAAACAGAATATTTTTTGCATTATTCTGTTTTTGTTGTTGTTGTATGTGCTGTAAGTTTTCGTGTTTGTTTAAAGTTTAACGTAAACATAATTGTAAATATTTGTAATTGCATTAATCATAATTATATAAGAACACATTTTTCCGAGATATTCGATTTTTGTTTTTGTTTTCTTTTTGTTTACAAAAATGTTGCATTATGTATACGTAGAATCATATAAAAAATGATAATATTTAAGACATATATATATATTTAGATATATATATATATATATATTGTATATATAATACACATGTTTAGTTTACAACAAAAGGCAGAGACAACCTAGAGGGTTAGCGGTGTGTTTCTTTTTCGGGGGAGGGGTCGGGGGCGGGTCGTAGGTCGCGCTGGGGTCTAGCTACAATACAATAAAATCAAGCTGAGCTCTGTTTAAAAAATAGATACGCAAATTTTGGTATAGAAACAAGAAAAACCCTTTTCTAGTTTGTTTTTTTTTGTTTTTCTCTTTTTTGTTTAAGTACTTGGCTAAGGGGCGTGGCTATTTAGCAGTGTTGTAAAACGTATCTAACCGAAAACTGTTGTGTTTCATTATTTTGTTTAGTTTTGTTTTTGTTATGTATCTTTTTGCTTTTATCTTGAAAACTTTTGCTAAAATGCATTTTGACTTTTACTTTTTGTATATTTTGTCTATGAAGCGAAAGATTAACTGAGTTACCTTTTATTTGAATTTTTTTCATATTTTATTTACTGTTTTTTTTTACTCATTTATTTAGCCTGGTTTTAACTCTGTTTTTTTCTCTTGCCTAGAAAAAAGTATAGATAATATTTTTGAAATATTTTTCTTTTTTTTTTGTTTTGTTTTGTTTGTAGCTTGCTTTATGTAATTTTAAGTGAGTCCTCGGCCAGGATCACATCCTTGGTTGTATGCTAGCTTAAATGATGATAAAGTTGGTTTTTCCTTTCTGTTGTTGCTTGTTGTTGTTGTTGTTGTTGTTGCTGTTATTGTTGTTGTTGCTGTTGTTGCCGCTTCAGTCCTCCAGCTGCAGCTGATGCACGGGTGATGTTGCAGTTGCCGTTGCCGCTGCCGTTGCCGTTGACAATATTTCGAGCGGACAGCCGGCAGCAACATCTGCGACAGAACCGGTTGACGTATCCGTAAAAAGCGGCTCTGGTTATGTCAGATCCTGTTGTGAATCTATTGAGAATAGCTCCTTGTATAGTGCTGGGAATACAACATTCGGATGCTGTTGCTTAAATTTGCTCAACGCTTCCATGTGCAAAATCGAAATATCGCTGCGAAATGAACAATATTACAATGAGGTGTCATACATAGAGGGAAACTCTGATTTTAGCTAACCGGAAATTGGGTATATTATTGAGGAGCGTGTCCAGCACGGTCACATCGCCCTTGAGCGGCGCATGATTCGTTTCCAGCTCCTGCCGTATTGCATTCATGCTCAGATTAAAAAGCCTCTGTATTTCCGTATTGCCGCGCACTCCATTACGTTCTAAAAGGAGTTCATTTCAGTTGATGGGAATCGAATATATATATGTGGTACACTCACCTGGCCAGAGCAGCACTAGACTCTGATATAGCGCCAGTTCGGTTTCAGTCAGTTTTAGTTCGGCTATCGATTTAGCCGTTTGGAAAATGCGCGACACCAGACGCATCTCATCCGAGTCGGATGTGTAGAATGCCTCCTGCGGCAGCATCACATCGCCATACAGCACAGCGTTCTGTGAGAGATCTAGCAATCTGGACATGCGAACAATCGCCAGCTCGAATGAGCCCGTCTTCAGCAATAATATCTGCAAGGATCGTCCATTTAGACCATTTAGTTCAATCGCATATCAAAGAGATATTTGGTTCTAGAGCTCACCTGATCATCCTGACTGAGGCGCATGAAGCCCGGTATTAGCTTTGCAAATTCGATTATATTCTGTATCATTTGTGTCAGCTTCTCGGCGCAGTCCAGCCAGAGCTCCTCTTGACCCAGATTTTTGTAATAGAGTATGCGTGATAGATCCTACATTGAGAGAGTATCAAATATTGAATGTGTATTTTTAAATGTACATATACTTTAAGAATTTTATAGCATATTAAAAACTAATGACCTCCCTGCTTCAATTGAAGTATACAAAATATACTTATGAATCCATAACAGAAAATATACTTGAGTAGGTTTTGCTTGGGTTCCCTATTCACTTCTACTCGATACCAATCGCTGGCACAGCTAAAGGTCATTATAATTTTGGCATGAAATGTATATTGCATAGCAGGGGACATCTCCGAACCCATAAAGATGTCTGTTTCTATGTTCTCTCTGTTCTCTTAGTTTCTCAAGACCAAACTGGGCATTTAGCTATAGTTTTATTATGCTGCTTGTAAATGAGCCAAACCTAATCAAGCTCGCAGTACTATATAGCTCTATAGGAAAACTAGCTAGAAAAATATATTCTTGTAGATCTTGCACTTCTTGCAAAATCTACTCTCTCAACTACTTTGCAAAGATCTCTGTTGGCATCAAATTCTCTGCCGTGCTATATCCAATTTGATTCGATAACTTTTAGTTGCCCTTTAACACACCTGAGGCTTTCGGAACATGTCATGCACAGATTCCAGTTTGGTATTTGTGTTTGCATGCGCCTCCGACAGGGTTTTGATTAGCACATCGTTGATATCGCCATCCGCTTCAAAATAGAAGAGGGAATATGCATTATTAAACCGACTGCCTAGATTGTTATTGTAGGAGATCGTGAGATACCATGACTTATAAATTCGGGATCGATCATTGTACTGCGCGGCTCGTAGGTGGTGCTGTCCACGTAGTCGGCCGATATATCGTATTGCATGGTCTGCTGGGGCGTCACCGAAGCCGAGTAGCCGTAGGGACTGCCGTAGCCGACCTCGTTGTTGGAGTAGCCGCCGCTGTAGCTGTGAAAGAAGGGCAGAAGACCCATAAATACAAGTAGTGTATTCAATATTTGACCAATGTCTGGGTAAGCATCAATACTGCACCTGTTGTAGTTGTTATGCTGCAGCTGATCGCTGCTAGAGGGCGTTTGTGTGTCGTACACGGAACTATCCGGTGCCGCGTCGCTCTGGGCGCGCATCTGGGCGCGATGGAAGCGGACCTCGTCCTCGACCTTCTCGCGCTGCTTCTTGGACATTCTGCCGAATTTTACAGCTGCAAAACGAGAGTAGAAGAAAATTACTTAAGAATCTATCTAAAAGATTGGTTTTTTTTTCTGTTTGTGTGTTTGTGCACTGCGGGCTTGTGGTTTGCCTGCATCATACCATCACGACTCATTCCCAATTTTAGGCACTTTTGCAGTCTACAGTATTGACAGCGATTCCGATTGACGCGGTCCACAACGCATTGCTTGTTGCGCGGACACTGATAGTTCACCACGGAGCTCTGCGATCGCCGGAAGAAGCCCTTGCAGCCCTCACAGGTGATAACGCCGTAATGCACGCCCGATGATTTGTCGCCACAGACTTTGCATGGAATTATTTCAATTTGAGCTGCAAGCAAAAAGAATTTTTTTTTTATCAATTAGACATTTTAATAATCTCTTTAAGTAATTGAGCGTAAAACTAGTTCAAATGTGGCCTTGAACTAGCTTAAAAATGCATCGATTGTGGATTTAGTGGGGTTTCCAATATTAATTGGGATTTTATTTAGAGAATATAACTAGTAATATATTTGAGTATAAGATTTGTTAGTTCCCAATCGAGGTCTCAACGGTTCGGTTCATGATTCGAAACAACCTTTCCGCTCATAGGTTCGCTTCGTGAATCAGTTTTTGGTTCATACCTTGTTTATTCATATGTCTTCAAAGTTTTAATTAAATAATTTAATCTATTATTTAGAATTGCCTGCCATATTGAAAAATTTAATCTCCATCCCAAATTGATCCATGAAATGTGGTTAGATAAATCTATTGATCGGTTCCCAAATTATTCATGCCTTATGGAATCGAGTCTTTTACAAATATTGTTTATGTAATGACACTAAGATAATAAATCACCTGATTTCTGCCTAAGATTCGTTATTAAAAAAAAAAAAACAGAAAGCCTTTTGCCCTTTTACACGACCCAGAAAATAATCTTCAGTTATATTTTATGTGAACACGATCATAACTCGGGAAATATATGTGCTATAATGCTTAAATTTGGTATATAGCGTGTTTATACAAAGCCATGATAATAACAGATGAAAATTTGGTCAGACTCATAATTATATGAGCCTTATGCCAAACAGAATCGATCTAGGTCTCATATGAAAACATGTAATTTGAGCCTAGTCTTATTTATAATTTTATACGTTTTGTAATTAGTTTAAGGCATTCCACAAACACGAAACAATGGACAATAGCGACTATTTTGGCGGCGTAAGTTGTCGCCCGGGTATTGCATTGATAGATTTCTAGAATAGTTCAACCCGTAGACCACAATTATCGCCGTTGAGTTCGATGGAGGCGTTGTTATGGGCGCCGATTCGCGGACTAGCTGCAGGACATATGTATCGAATCGATCGGCCGACAAGCTGACACGGATTACGGACCATATATACTGTTGCCGGAGCGGCTCCGCCTCCCAGACCCAGACACTGGCCAACACGGTCGCCTACGCGATGAACTACTACGAGTGCAGCATGGGCGAGCCGGCGCTGGTGCGCGATGCGGCTGTCCATTTCCGGAACAAGATCTACGATTCCCGCCAGACCATGATGGCCAGCATCATTGTCGCCGGCTGGGACAGACGCCACGGCGGCCAGGTGTACAGTGTGCCCATCACTGGACTCATGGTGCACGAACCCTGCGCCGTTGCCGGTTCCGGCGCTGCCTACATTCAGGGCTTCGTCACCGCCCACTACAGACCCGGCATGCAGCAGGCGGACACCGTCGAGCTGGTCAAGAGCGCCGTCCAGCTGGCCATACAGCACGACTGCAGCTCCGGCGGCATCGTCCGTGTTGGCGTCATCAACGAGTACGGCATGGACGCGTGTGTCTGCTGTGACAAGGATCCCGAGATGGTCAAGTATGCCAACACACTTCTGTGGAATCTTGAATTCGGCATTTGGTGATACCTTTGAAATCTTAGCTTGTGTCTATATTATAGACTTTTATATTATCAACCGGAGTTTCATATTACTAGGGATTTTGTAGGTTTCCTTAGCTGTATGCTTGGAAATATTGCATATATTTTTTATGGTTAGATAAACTGGGGTTTCTCTCAATTATTGGACATTGAAATTTGATGGTTTATTCAGCTGCATTATTTGGAATACTACATATATATTCTATATATATTTCGATTCTTATTGCAAGCTTAACTTTTATAGTTTCTTTAGAGGTAACTCTCTAGTCAAACGACCTATCCAAGCCTAGAACAAAGGCCAACTGAAAATTTGAGTTTCCTAACATATTGAAAAAGTTCGCAATATAAACTTTTCTTCTATGCGTTCCCAAATTGAAGTATATTCAAGAAATCTCGAGTTAGTTCTCTTTTAAGCTATTTGAATTATTATTCAACTATCAATATATTTTTTGCTTTCTTGCTTCCTAATCCAATTTTAAAGGTTTATCTAACCTTTTTATTCTCTAAGGTATTATTATTATTTGATAATTCATATTCATATATGTATAATTTCCATTATACCAAACTTGCCAATCTTCTTAAGAACATTTTATATATGCTACATTCTAGTCTTTACATTTTTAATTGTTGCCTTTCGCAGTGCAGTTCATATTAGAAATCCATTTAGATAAATCGCATTCAACTCTAAATATGTTGTTAGATAAGTTAATTTGGCAAAAAAAAGAGAAGTAAAACGGGGTTCAAATTGCTTTGAACCATTTTACAGGCTATTCAATTGTAGTTCGCAGTTGGGGCAATACTTTGTTCCGGCTGCTGCCAACTGCTTGTTGGCCCTGTGGTCGGGGCTAATTCAGAGCCTATTAACTGTAGCCATATGGCCCGTTGGCCCATAGAGAGCCATGCAAATTGAAGTTCTCGTGGCAAGCGGAATTTGCCACAATGCGCCATTAGGAATATTAGTTGGGTTTAGTAGGTTGTCCATTGTCGTGGCAGAACAATGCCAACGCGCCGAAGAACTCAGTACTTATTACGCAATAAGAATGCACGCACTGAGAAAAATAAATGGTCAATTGTTTTGAACAACAAAGCCTATGAAAAGCCAATATTCAACCGAATGCATGCTTTTAAAATGTTGCATAAAATATATTCTATATTGTATAGGCAAAATTTTATATAAAAATTTAATTTATTTACATTTTTAAAAACAACTAGAAAATTTTTAAAGTGTATTCACTTTAGTTTAACTCACATTTTAATTATTGTATACACACGAAAATTATAATTTTTTGACAAATTATTATTTGAATATTTTTCCGCTTCAATTAGAATATTAGCCAGTTTTTTCGCTCTGTGTAGCCTGGCATAAAGCGTATTAAGAGTACCTTAAGCCACTTGTTTTGCCTAGACAATGGCACAAGTTGCTGCAGTGCAAGTAAATTGAGTGCATGTGTGTGTGTGTGTGTGTGTGCGTGTGCGACAGACAGCGACAGCTGTTGGGATTCCCTCGCAGCATGCAACAATCCTTTTCAACGCTGATGATGTAATTTCTTTAGCGGCAAACAAAGAGAGCAGCAGACGCACAAAAACCGTTGATCAACTGCAGCCAAAGACTCGCACACACACACACATACGTACGCGCACAAAGAGAACTGGTTCTAGGCAGCGCTTTGATGCTGCAGACTGGGCCAAGCAGAGTTGATTATAAGCAGCATCCGCGCGGCCAACCCCCCACCTCCGCCCAGTGCACTTGCCTTTATAAGCGAATCCGCACTGCCGCTGTCGCGGTCGCTGCTGCTGCTGCTGCTGCTGCTGCTGCTGCCTGGCACCGCGTATTGTGTAATCTAGCGCTTTGCGTATTTACCCACGAGGATGAAAGATGCGCGCTGAACCGAAAGCAGACAAACACAGACGAAGCAAGCAGCGACGCAGCGGCAGCAGCGGCCGCGCAGCAGCAGCAACGCAGCAGACAGACGACGTCGTCGTCGCTGTCGCAGTAGAAAAATGTGCCAAGCTGCTGACGTCGCTTTGTTGTTGCTGCTGCTGCATTGGGAGAAATGTGTGACAGTTGATGAGCGTCAGAGCGAATGAGTAAGAGACGTCTGTATGCATGTGTGTGAAATGTTTTTCAAGTGTCAATGAACTTTTCCAACACGGCAGTAGCACACACGATAATACAAATCATACAACACTCGCACACACACACACACACACACACACACACACACAGACGCACAGGCATCCAACTGATTCTGGTGAGTGCGCGTTGCGAATGAAATAACAAAAACATATTGAAAAGAAAGTGCTGCTCTTTTGCGGCGCACTCTTTGTTCTTAAGCATTATCGCTCTCTCCCTCTCTTAAGCGGCGTGCATGGCGCGCTCTTAATGCCGCGCTCTTTGCCTGCCATTGCAATTGCAGCTTAACGCAGCGCTCAGTGCAACAGACAGTTTTTGTTGTTTTTGTTGTTTTTTTCTTTTGGCTATTTTCAAATGTGTGTCGTCACCAGCGGGCTGACTGCGGCGACAGCGCGCACGGGGTGGACGAGGCGTCGTTTGGCTGCTGTCAGCGTCGTCGTTGAGTTTTTTGTGTGTTTTGTTTGAACATCGCTTAAAGCGCTTTAAAGTTGTAATTGTAATGTTCTCAGGCAAATGCGAAAAGCTTTGCGAGCTGTTAACCAAAATAAGTGAGCACACACTCAAACAGACACATGACGAAACATACTGACAGACACATTCATATGACAGTAAATCTTTATCTTTATCGGCTCTGCTGGAGCTGTAAATGTCTGTGCGTGTTTTTGAAGGCGGATAAGCAGAACATACATGTCTACATGTATGTGCATATACACATACACATGCAATGCTTATGTTTGCTCGACAACTTAACCGTTATGCAGGCACATAAATATGCAAAAAACTTTTTCTTCTTCTTATTGAGCTGCGTGTGCTTTTGTGCTTTATTGAAACTCGGTTCTAACTGAAAACAGTTAAAGCTTAAGAGCTTTTCAGAACTAATTAAAGAGAAATGCGAAATGCTCTTAGCATATGCATACAAACAAGCACGTACATGTGCCTTAATATACATATATAGATACATATGTTTGTGTGTGTTTATACGCACTTGCATATCAGGAAACAATGGGAAATGATGTTTCCAAATATTTGTTCAATTCAAAATTAAATAGGTAAAAGTACTCGCACTCACACCTCGTTATTATAGAATGTTATTTACCATGGCACAATGAAAGGTAAATACGACGTTGACATACTTTCAAAATGTGACAAATATTTGCCAAAAATTATTTGTCAGCACGAGATATACTTGTGTATGTACATATGCCCATATATACAATGTATGTGTGTATGTATTTGCCTACCTTTCCGACAACTCCGTGTATCAGAATATAAGAACATACATAAAGGAAATGTTGCTTTTGTTGACAGAAAAATGCTGGGCAAAGGGTTAAATTTCTTGTTAAAACTCTTTGTTAAAGTTCAAATCTTACAAAGTATGCTTAGTCGATGTTTTTAAGCATTCGTCTAACTGTACTTAGTCTATATATATATGCGGTTGAATCGGAACACTATAAGAACACTATAACTGGAACTAGCAATGCTCTATTGCCTGAAAATGTAGTCTTTCTGTGAGAAAAACATTTGTTTTCCAAAATTAATAGTTTTTATATGCTTCCAACATTTGAAGAAAAGCTTATGAACATTTTACTGCTATATAATAACATTCTCACAATATATTTCGACTAAAACTTCTTCGATTTTTGGCATATTTCAAGTTTTAAAAGTAGTTTTGCTCTATCGAGAATCTTCCCATCATTTCTTTGTTTGTGATACACATTAACTTATTGTAATTTACAAAATTCTATTTATTTGACTATTATTTAGTTTTTAGTAATGGCTATATTACTAATATTTTATATTATTTATTTTATTTTTATATGCAATAACTTTTATTATATTTATACATATATTTATCTTATTTTTTGTATTTATCATTTTATATTATTTTTAAATTTTTATAATTATTTTATTACCTATTTTATTATATTGATTTATCTTATTATCTATTTGTTGATTACATTTCATCAGAACTGCCCATATAAACTTTTATTTTTTATTTGTTTAACATTATGCATTTAAGATCTCACAAAAGATCCTAATTTCTGTTGCAGACTCATTAAGTTATTCAAGCCCCCATGAAAATCCATTGATAATTCCAATTGCTAGTTTTTCACAATGAAATTAACGCATAAATTGACGAAGTGCGCTAGAGCGAGAGGGAGAGGTGGGGAGAGTGGGGGAGAGAGAGAGAGAGGCAGCACAACAGCCAAAATAACGCATACGCACCATATGCACAGGCAGCAAAGCAAGTAACAGTTAATTAACTGCTGCTGTTGCTATAAAAAAAACAACAACAACAACAGCAAAAAAAAAAGCGCGCCGCAAGTGCAAACCGCAATTTGCCAACAAGTTTTCCACGGGCCGCATAAACGATAATTTAAACGCTGTGCAAAAATGCACAATAAAATAAAATTCTGAATGGGCCAAAAAAAAAAAAATGAGAGAAAAAAATAACGCACACACATGCACACACACGCACACATGGCAAACAAGAAAACGCGAAAATATTTTTGCATATGCAATTTATTTTGCCTGCCAGCGGGATTTCTTGTCGCCCCGTCCCGCTCGCACACGCCGGCTCGCGTCCCGTCCCGCTCTAGCGCCTGGCTGCAGCAATAACCAGAAGTCAAAATTAATATGTTCTTCTTTATTGCAAATGCAGGCAGAAAAAAAGTAAACCGAAAGAAAAAAAAACAAACGTACAACGAAAATTAATATGCAGCGACATGTGCGAAAAAAAAATGCGCCGCAAAAGAGATAAAAACAAAAAATAAATAAATACAGAGTAGAGCTGCATGTGATTTGCAGTTTCGGCTGCTGCTGCTGCTGCGATCAAATAAAATAATAATAATAATAATAATAACAACGGCAACGGCAAAAA